AGTGAATGTATCTTAATTCAAATACTGAATAATTCTCAAGTGTTTTTTCTTATTTTCTTTATAATCTACTACTATCTTTATTTATAATATAAAAAATTAATATTTTTAAATTATATGTCATTTTTGCCAACATATTTTAGTCCAATCTTAACTTTCTTCTAACAACCAGAATTTTAAACATATTTTCTGGTATTTATTTCTTCTGGACCAAATTTGTCATTAATTAAAAAAAATACTTTCCTTTGATGCAAAGACAACCTTTAGAAGTAAAATATTAAAACAAGTTTTTATCAGAAGTTCAAAATATCACAATGATTCAGTTTTTAAATCTTACATCACCTATTGTTAACACATTAAATACATTTCTGAGAATTAAGTAGGAGAATGACCCAATTTCCTAAGGATGCTGTTGGTTTGAATGCTTATTTATCTTCGTTGATCTCATACCTCCTTTTCCAGTGGACACTATGTGTCCTACTTCTCAGTAGTAGCAAGAGAATTATTCAGTTGCACTGTACTTCCATATGCATAACTATATCTGAATAGACTACCATACTCTGACCAACACAATCATTAGTAAAGTAAGGTCTATGGATGGGCCTTTCCTTGTGACTTCTTAAATTCAACTCTTGCCTTTTAAAGTCACTTTAAATTGCTCTTCTGGGAAATCATGTCACACAATTAACACACAGGATTTTGGTGCTGTATTTTTTGTTGTTGTTGTTTTGTTTTTTGTTTTTGGAGACAGGGTTTCTCTGTGTAGCTTTGGAGCCTATCCTGGCACTCGCTCTGGAGACCAGGCTGGACTCGAACTCACAGAGATCCACCTGCCTCTGCCTCCCGAGTGCTGGGATTAAAGACATGCGCCACCAACGCCCGGCCTTGGTGCTGTATTTCTTTTACTCAGTTCTTCCGAAAAGGAAAGCTTCCAAGAGCTCTTGTAATCACAGTTTGTTTCCTAAGGTAGATAATAGATTATATGAAACTCGGGAGACAAGCACACTAGCTTTCCTGTTAAAACCTCAAACAAAACCTAGGTTGAGGAACAACAGCCTCCTTGACAGAGCCAGAGGCGAATGAGCTCTGGCTTTCATCTTGGAATAGCTGAGTGTTTCTATGTTCCTTAAAGGTGTTCCTAAGCCTTTGAATTCCTTCTTGACCTGAGTGGAAGATACTCTGAGCTGATTTTATTAATTAGGCATTGGCAATTGGTATCCTCTTCATAAAATATTGCATTTGCTTTGGGAGAGACGTAACTTATATTCAGAGACTGAAAATTATCTCTACTAATCAATTATTTTCTTCCTTTCCTTACAGCACCTTCTCTGATAGGGATGGTGAGGAAGGACTGGGCATCCCAGAACAGCCTTGCCCTATCATGGCAAGCACCTGCTTTCTCCAATGGAGCTGTCCTGGACTATGAGATCAAGTACTATGAGAAAGTAGGTCTCATTTAGCACTTGCTAAAAACTCTGAATTTACACACATACATGCATATGTGTTTACATTATATATTGTTATGTAGTTTAGATGAAAAATCTGCTTCTCTTTGGCCTAGCTCCAATATCACTGCATCTTTGACTCCTCTCTAACATCCCATTGTGCTCATAATTTCTTCATTAGTTTATCTTGTTTTATGCCACATTAAAGTGGAAGGTACCAGATGCTCATGTTTTTCAGGACCTGCTCTAGGGAGGTGTATAATATAGCAATAATTGATAACGTCTTCAACTTATACTTTCCTTGTTCTAACATTCTCAAAAATGCTGTTGGGAAGGAACAGTAAGACTGAATTCCTATGAAATAAATGAATGGGCAGCACAGAATTATCAGTTTAAAGTCATCATAATTAGAAAGGATGATTTAAAGGATAAATGAATTAAATGTTGCCTTTATATTCAGGTCAGTTGTTTTCTTTTATAAGAAGTTAGTGAGATCAACTCTACTTAAAAATCAATCTAATTTCTACCTTGTTATTTTGAATTATTCTCAACTATTATAGTTTCCCAAATCATAAACATCCTTACATTATTAAATTCATAATTCTTCTTTGTTCATTTCCCTTCCCCAATTATTTACCATTATGACATTTTTGACATAGCTATTCCATGGTCATTTCTGATACATTCCTTGTACTATAATTATAATACTTTGAAAATATCATTCAAGACAATTATTTTAGTTAAGACTAAATGCACATGTTATCCTGAGCTTACCATAAAAATATGTCAGGCTTCTAGAATTTATCAGAAACAAAGAGATATTTAAACTTTCCTACTCCAAGTTTGCATTTTGATCTGCTGAAATACCTGATCTTAGATTCACAGGAGAAAAAGGCATGCCTATTAATTCTTGCACATCTTTGTATGGGAGCTTCAGGATGTATAAAACTAAAAGACTACCCAATGGTTGAAACTTCAGATCTTAATAACAGGAAGGGAAACAGTAGATAGAGGTGCTTCAAGAAAGACATAAAATGGATTTTCCCATTGGATCCAAAGAAGAGACAATGACTTCTGTCAGAGTTCCTCTGGGTTTTATATGCTCAGCTTTCAGTCTCATCTCCCTTGATAAGCATTTATTCTTCCTTGGTTAAGGAAAAGTTCAATGCAAGAAGTGGAGATCTAGTCTTCAAAAGATAAAATATTTCCCTGCAATTGCTTTCCCAGCAGTATTGTCTACTGGAATCCCAAAGATCTATATAGTGGACTGTCATTTTCTATGTCTGAGGGGGCAAATCATAAATATATTAAGTCTTCCATAAAGAAATATTGGGTAGAAGTAGAAATGTAACCCATTCTACTGCTAAGCAAATGTAGTTTGAATCAAGAGAAAGACACTCCATATATCTAAGGGATAGCTTTGCAAATGTTAAAACCTGCAGCATGTGGACAAAGAAAGTGTGTGTGTGTGTGTGTGTGTGTGTGTGTGTGTGTGTGTG